GAGCACTTATCTCTTCACTCTCAGTGAAAAGATCAACATTAGTCTTATCATCATCATCTTGGATTATCAAAGCAGCTTTTTCATTAATTTCATAACTAGAAGAAGAACGCTTCGACCTACAAGACAATAGTATGCCAGCTAGCAGGAAGAATGATCCAGCCATTAAATAAGAGCCTGGAAACAATATAGCCATTGCAGTCTGTAGACTTGTTAGTGTTTGTAAAGAAGGAAGGACCAGATTGATGTTTCCTCCGATAATGTTAATAACAAATAGATACAGGGCTAGGCCTGAGGACGCTATTTCATGTGGAACCATCTCCATGGCAACGGCAATGGCCACCCCAAACCACATCTCGCCAGTAATGTAAGAGAAGAGAAGAGAGAGAAAGGCCCAGGGAGGTGATAAATAAAGTGTACCAAAAAGAAAAGGAGCAGCTAGAAACTAAACAAAGAAATAATCATTAATTAATGAAAGATGTAAATACAGTGGAATATCACTATTGGCAACCACAATACCAATTGGTATAATTCAAGATAATGATTATTAATGATCATCAATGATTACTTACACAACAGGTCACTAGTACTATTAGTCTTGATCTGGTTCCTAGTCTTCTCACTAGTCCATCCGATATCATTCCACCTGCAAACACACCAACAGTACCGCCCACCACTGGTACCCAGCTTAGGTATGTACCTACACCAGTTGTGTCGCAATGTAACTTCCTATTAACAAAATAAATAATAATAAAAAAAATTAATAATAAAATAAATAATTATACCTGAAATAAGCTTTAGCATTATAAGCCCACACCAGTCCCCCTCCTTGTCTAAGCCCTGCCCCAATACACAACAGTAGCAGTGGCAACTGCATATAACTCTTCAGGACTTGCTTTAATATTTTAAAATAAGGTTTCTACATAATAGGAATATAATTATACTATTTTCATTACTTTTATCTCAAGTACCTTTTTCAATAAACGTCCATTGTTTTTATCATTCCTTCTAATTGGTTCTCGTACAGTCAATAGAGACAAGAAGGACACTATTGTGCTTAGAATACTAGCTGACCAGAAGCCCCACCTCCAGCCATAAGACTTTATAATAAAATCACTAGCAAATGCTAGACCATAGCCAAAATAAACACCCCAACTGTAAAAACCCAGCGCAACACCACGGTTCTTCTAAATAACACAATAATAATAATAATAATAATAATAATAATAATAATAATAATAATAATAATAATAATAATATAATCTAACTTCTTCAAATATGTCGGACATTATGCTACCAGCTAAAGGAGTGCAGGCTGCCTGACTGAAGAGACATTATCATAATAATTAATAATTATTATTACTAATAATACTTACAATATTCCTAATCCTATTCTAGTCAGCAAGAGCTCCCAATACTGGTTACAGAAACCGGACAGACCAGTTAGTACGCTCCAGGTTAAAGCACATATTGATAAGAGTAGTGTTCTTTTTAATGTATAAAGACTGAGGAGGAGTCCAGTTAATAAAGAGGAGATGGCAAATGTTACAATGAAGGCAGGACCAGCTAATATCTGATAATAGACACTAGTAGCGCTATAGTCCCAGCTACAGTCTTCATCCAGTAGGCACCTAATGGAAAATATATAATAATTAATAATTATTAATAATTTAGAAACTTGCAACTTAATGATTTAGAGTACATCATCTTTTGGAAAAAATGAAAAGGAGAGAAATCTCAATTTCTAGTACGTTTTCTGATGCATATACATGTTCTCATGTTGTGTAGAAAGTTTGAACTGATTCCAATCAAAATTGGATTTTTTATGAATTATTAAAGTTGCTCCAAAATTGAGTAAAAATCCCCTGTACTATAGTACAGGGACTTTGGTCAAATTTCGCCAAAAATGAAAAGGAGAGAATTCTCAATTTTGTATTACATTTTCTGATGCATATACATGTTCTTATGTTGCATAGAAAGTTTGAGTTAATTAAGATCAAAAGTGGAATATTTATATTTACGTTCACTTTGAAGTGAAAATCGTCATCCACTTTACAAGGTGATTATTAAATATTCATAACTAGCCCCACCCACTACTAATTAGTCTCACTTGTCCCTATTAGTTTGATAGTCAGAGCAGTTGTTATTAACACA